CACACATGTACTAAGTCATGTTTATTCGAGCAATTTAACTGTCTTATGTGATCAAGTTGCTTTTATCACTGGAGCTACTGAAATCAGCTCAAGATTCGAACATTTCCACATTAAAATAAGACACGAAGATCTTGACGATATGACCTTTGGAGGCTATGTGTTTAAACATACAATCTAAATTTGTTCAAGTGCGCTCATCACAGTTTTAATTCCACACATTTCTTACTGATTCGGCGAAATTTGCTTTATTTACTTACATAAAGGCCTTTTCAATTCTATTGCCAAAATATCTTAGTCAACTTGATTAACTGGAAGCTTTAATTTGAAAACTAGTTTTAAATATTATTGGTTCATTTATTTGATAAAGGTAAAATACGTGACTGCTTCTACAAAGAAGCCTTTGTAGAAGCCATTTCAAAGGAACTTGGTTATATACAGTGCGTCCGTAAAGTCATGGTGCAGTTTTGTTCGGTCATAGAAAAGCAACAAAACAAGATGGAAATGTGAAATCTTCACCAAACAAAAGGAAAACTCTCCAAGTTTCCGTAGTATTATGTGCAAGCATGTACGCACACAGGTGGTGACGCAGCACCGCGAAATGCGAAGGAGCAGGTCAGCCCATCCACGCTTATGCCAGCCGAGATGTGGACCGTACAGAGGAACGCCCAGTGTGTTCTGTGGCTTGCCAAATTCGAATCTGTGTGACCAAAGTGCAACGTGAATATCGTCGCGTGTACAACGAACCGCCACTACATAGAAATAACATTAATCGGTGGTATAAGCAGTTGAAGGATACCAGCAATTTTGTTGGATAAACCCCATTTTGGCAGGCCATCGCTCAGTGACGAGTCTGTAGAGGCTATATGGAAGAGTTACCTAAGAAGCTCTTACAAGTTGCCGCTGTTGCACGCTATCAAACCGACGAATAAACCCAAACGATCCGCGTTTGCTACAGACATGCTTCATGAGGTCGACAATGATAACCGATTTCTGCAGAACATTGTGTTTAAGCGATGAGGCGACATTCCATTCCCTGTTAGCGGACATGTTCATCGTCATAACATCCGAATATGGGTTCCTAAAAATCCTCATGCCCACGTAGAGTACGAACGTAACAGCCCTAAAGTGAACGTGTGGTGTGGCCTGATGCATGATAAAGTGATAGGACCATTTTTCTATGTGGAGTAGACTGTGACGGCATGGATGGAGCCCACATCAAACTGCATTGAATAGGTATGAAACTTTTTTTTTTTTTTTCGCCAAACGGGCATTTTCATTTTATATTTACACCCAACATACACATTTCGAGAGCATTTTGACTAACGCCACTTTGAGCTAAAAATACTTAAAAAACAGCAGAATTTCTGACAGACAGTCTCTCGCGCAGGACATAAAAATGCTTTATTCTGTACAGTGTTGCCAGTGCTCGCTATGAAATTGTTGAGTTCTTTTAAATCAAAAATTCGTCAAGCTTTAAAAAATATGAAATAGGTAATGAAACAAATTCGAAAGTCAAAATTCGGGCTTCCAGGTGTCTATGTTCAGTTGGAGGACTACGTTATTCAAAATTTAATGGCTGTAGGTACCGTTGTTTTTTCAAAAGCGAGAAACTTACAAACATTCATGCAAATTCTTCATTATTTAGTTTCTTTAAATATAATACAGGGCGGAAATATTTGGTGGCAACAATTTGAAAACTGATACATCGCATTTTTAAGTGATTCAACGCAAAATGCCGTTTCCAGACTAATAGCCCTTCTGGGCTAACCACCCTTTGGCCTAAAATCCACTGAACGTTATTGAAATAATGCTTATCAACCTCTGCACAAATAGTTCCTTTATGTCTTCTTATTTTCTGAAATTAAACACTGTTGTGAACTCTCTTTTTAAGCTTTTAGTAGTGCAACTAATTTCCAGAGAATGATGGATTTTTCTTCATTAGTCGGAAATTTATCCATTGTGTCAAAACTAGTGTAAACTAAATTTCGAATAAAAGGAGGTCAGTTTTTGGTAGTCAACCTTCCCTTTATTAGAAAGTCCTCATAACGGGATGAGGAAACTCCTCATACCAATTTACTTTTCATTCTCTACCCGGATGTCAAAAAACCATTTTATGAGGCACAGAATGTTGGCTTTCATTAATAATATAGCAATGCAACAGTTTTTTGGGTATTTCTGTTAAGTCATTCATAGAAGGGGTTCATACCAGTGATACGCCATGATATTTCCCATTGGCATATATCAATTTGAGCAATACATCTTTCACTGTTAAATAATTTTTAACTATACAAAAGCCTGAAATGCAATTCTTGGTTAACTCACATGCCATGATTCTAAAATTTCATCTAGGTGTTTATATAGATGATTGATGATGCGGCATGAGGTTATGAAAAAAAAAAAAAAATGGTCGTATTGCACACTAATTTGTGAAGAAAGGCCGTGTGCATTTAAACGAATCTGACGCAGCCAGCGCATGACCACAGGACAATTCCTTGTTAGAACAGTAACAAGCTTTAAGTAAAGTATCAGTTCGGATTGATTGTTTAATAAACAAGATCTAATTTCTTATTCCGATAAATACAAAGGTCTGTAATATGAAATTTTGGATTATATTTCATTAGGTATGCGTAAAAACTTTTTTTTCGAAATTTATACCAATAGAATTAAATGCTTATCCTTTCTTTCTTTTAATTAAAAATTGTATTTTATTAGGTAGTTGAATAACATATAATTGAATTAATTTTTAATTAAAGAAAATTAAGCGGTTAAATATATCTGGTATAAATATTTTGAAACGTACACAATCATTTAATTTCCTTCTCTGTTATTTCTATAGTATCAAGAAATCTAAATTCACTTTTATCAGCACGTATTCCCTTGCGGTATATATGTATCTAAAAATAACGCTCTTTTGTTTTTGGATTTTCAGCTGCATAGTGATTCCCGTGCATTCCGGAGTAAGCACGAGGTGTTTCAACAGAGGTGTTTTTGAATTTGTTATTTAGACCTGTGCTTCGTCATCATCCTCAGTGCAAGAGAATAACAAATGCATTTTTTGGTAGCATTGCCTGCATTACAAGAGTTTTGAAGTTCTGAAAATGGGATGCTGTTATAAAAAATCATTTTTTTCTACGGCTTGGTATAAATAAATATCATATCTGGATATAATAGAAATAGTCTTAATATGTGCTGTGTTAATTTAGTTTACACATTCTTACTATAATGATTCTATAGTTTACCAGGAAAATTTATTAAGAGTTTTAAGTAAAGTACTACTTTCGGTTTATCACATTTAATCAAAATCTACTATGTTGTTTCTAGTCATGACTGTATATGCATATACGAGTTTTAAATACCAAATCCGAGAAGTTTTGAATTGTATCATTAAAAAAAATAAATAAATAAATAAATCCGTTCAAGTATGACTTCTGTTTATCAGTTTTAGCCAAATTTGATAGATATTTGATAGATTGTTCTCACTGATATTATTCCGAATTTGGCATTTAAATAGATCATTTTAGTTCAATTATATTTAAAATTGTTTTATTTCCCCGTGAAATGCAGCGCGTGATAAATTTTAAGAGAAAGCTATGCCGAAAAAGTAAAAATATAAGAGCACGTGCATTTAACATTGAATAAACAATAATAATAAATGTAATTGACTACTATGTTAGCTCTAACCGTAATTTTACTCTTTTTGCTTTCCATAAATTGCTAGAACTGTCTGGCGCGGCCGATCTAAAAAACTATAAAAGACGGAGAGAAACATCTCAGTTTAGTTGTTTACTTAGCTACTGTCATTTTGAGATCGAATTTTAGCTTTCTTTGCGCTTTGGATTGCGTACTATTTAACGTTTTAATAGTTTAAAATATAACTACTGCGCGATATGTATGAATATCTTTGTGAAAAAACCCAGCGTTTGTTATATTTCTTGTGATAAGAATAAATTTTATTAACTTTTCATCGGACTTGTGCCTTCAATCTATTATGAATCCGTACGTACGCAACAATATGAAAGTCTTAACTACTAAAATGGAAAACTTTTGAATTATGTTCTAATACAATTTTCATTAAAAACTATTATCTTCAATTAAAGTACCACTTCTGTTTGCACAATTTAACCCCACATTAAATCACCTCTTCATATAAACGCAGAAAGTTTAAATATAGAAAAAATAAATTTTTGAAAGATCAATGTAAGAATTCTCGTCGACGAAATAATCGTCGTACCCGTACAAACATCATTATAAAAATAGTAAAAAACGGGTGTTGTGAGGACTCTTAATTAGTGCTTAGTCACTCAAAATTCACTACTAAATTTCTGTACAGAAATCATTACCTCCTTTACCTATGAATATAAGTTAAGGTAAGAAAAAAGAAATAACCGGTTTTTATCATAGAATTATGAGCGAATGCCTGTATTCACTATTTTAAGCAGTGATATTTGCTCAAGGGAATGCGGAACATCGACAGGAATTGATGCAATTTACAGAGAACGAAATGTAAGGATTTTGAACTGATGGGGAAGGATGAAACAATACCAAAGCATTTCTGCTCAATGTCAGACTCGTATAATTTGATCATGACCACCTGATGTTGATCAGGTGAGTTACCACGCATTGCTTCAAAGCTCTTCCTCGCAATTTACGCAATAAAAATTATTAATTGCATTTGTTTACTTCTAAAATTGAAATATTTTATTCTAAGGTTCCTTTTACTGAAAAGTAAATTCAAATGATAAAAAATATTAAATATGCCTTCTATGTTATTGCTTCAAATAGGAAATCTTAATTGACTCATCATTTTGTATGATTTTCCGTAATTCTGACAAACTTATTGTTGATAAAAGAGTACTAATGAAATTTCAAAAAACAGTATAAAATTTACAAATACTATAATTGTGGCTTTATATTTCACAAAATGATGTAAAGGTCATGAGCATAACGCTAATATTTCATAATTTTATCTAAACGCGTTAAAATAAAAAATTTCTCCCTACCTTATCGTAGGAGCTATAGCAAAAAGCACATCATTCGAATCTTCAATGTCAGTGGCATACAGCTGATGTCGCCTAAGAAGAGTTTCTTCCGGTAAACTGGCTACACTGTTCAGCTGTTTCGGTTTGTTGCACGCCAGTACGCTGTCATCATCTGAATCTGAATCGCATTTTTCTTCCTTTTTAACGGATTGTTCGCTGTCTGTTGAAGTACTTCTTAAATCTTTTACTGAAGTTGGTTGCACACTACATAGTGAGTGCAAACTGGATGTGGAAGATTTTTTCTGCAGGCCTCTCGAACGTATCACATCGAGTATATCTGGATGTTCGACACGTTTGAAAATATTAACAGCAATGCTGGTTTTAGGAGTAGTTTGAAGCCGAGACATTGCAAAGTTTACGGTGGCCGAGGGTAGAAGGTGGGCGTTCTACTTGAAAACTTCACTTCATTTCCTCCTGATTGTAACATCTTGAAATGTAGGCAAGCTTCAGCCGAATTTGCTTTTATCAGACAATAGCAATAAAATGGAGGTGTCGGCGTTCATTATCACGCTTTGTTGCTATGGTAGTTATCTGCAAGTATCGCTATGATTCACGGAACTTTTTTTTTTTTTTTTTTTTAATCTTTCATTGCCTGAAGTAAAAAGATAATCAGGAAATCTCAAATGATATGCTTTTAAAAATTCCTTTTTTTTTTTTTTTTCGTCAACATATAAAAAAATTCATTGTTAGATAACTTCTAATTAATTCCTTTACGAAATTTTGTCAATTTTCTCTGTCAAATGGCCAAGACGGGCCATTATCTGCAGATTTTTTTTAGGGGGGAGGGAAGGGGGTTAAGGTTTCAAGTAATTTTGAACTGAATGCTTCCGATCGCAATGAATTTGCTGTGCACATAAAAATCGTAGAAAAAATGCTTTATATTTAAAATAAGTGAATGTAAATAAAAGATGCGAAGAGACTATAATTTCTTAATTCAAGTGCTAAAGCCAATTTTAAGTAATACGATCGTTATAATGATTCATGAAAAAGACAATGCTTAAATTTTGCTGAGTATGAAGCATTCAAAGGAGTAAGGCGACTACGCTGTAAACATCAAAACTGAGTGTTTTTTTTTAAATATTTTTCGCTTGCAAACAAGGTAACCAATTTGAAAATAGTTTAATTTTCTTTTAAATGGAATAATGGCGAAGTAATGACAAATACGCAAGAAGTGGCTTATTTTTCATTTTTGATGCTAATCTTTAAATAAAGTAACTTGTTTTTCTCGTTTCTTTACTTAATGCCTCACATACTGATTAAAAGAATGAATAACCCGTGATGCTTTTTTTCTGCAAGCAGGATTTGTAACTTGGATAAGTAAATTCTCTTTCAAACGAGAGACTACCATAACAGTACCCGTTTATAGTGAAACAACTCATTTTTCCTCGTTTCTTTAACACATAAGAGGAGGAACACTGTTTTCAATTACGATGCAAAATCACTCCCTAGCAAAATAAAATCCATAGATAGGATTATATTGTGGGACCGCCGGAAGAGAATATGGAAAGAATCTACAAGTAACTCTTAGAAAGTATTGCTATTATGCAAAGCATTAATTTATTTTCCATATGCCCTGCGTTTATATTTTAATAAAAAATACAGCATAGTCATAGAAATGTCATTTCATACATATAGTACAGACTTTAACAACAAATAATATAAATTAAAATTTAAAATTATAAAAACTTTTATATTACGTCAGTTTTTTCCTTTCTTGGATTCGAGCAAATTCGAAGCAAAATCCTTTTTCATTTTATTTTTTTTATCGGGGGGGGATCTTAATACAACGAAGTTCCCTCCATCCCAAATCTTAATACACTGTGCAATTTGAATTTGCATTTTTATTCTAGTTCCTTTATTTGGAATATCACATAATAACAACATAGCCCGCTAAATTACAATGTGTCATATTTTAAGGCATTTTTAATTACTAGGAATTTCAGTACAAATTAAAAGAAATAAATACATGCGAGTTTCATTACAAATTTTTATTTTTTTTTTTTATTATTATTATTATTTGTCTCAGAAAGGCACTTTTAAACTGCTACAAACCATTTCATATACACACTTTACATCATCCCCCCCCCCGAAAAAAAATCCTTTACCCAAAATTTTTCTCTTTAGTCCTGTCTTTTGTATTTACTAAGTATCAATTCTGTCTAAAGCTTATGGTATTAAAACCATAAGCGTTAGAGAGAATTGATACTTTGGGTGTTTTTCCTGGTATTTAGCAGGATAATAGAGAGAGGATTATGAATTCTCAACCAATGTTTAACAAAAGAATTAAAAAAGAAAAAAAAAAAAAAAAGCCGCGGATAGCATAATATTTTTAATAACTTAATTATACATGAAATTCATTCTGTTCTGGGATGAATATTGTATTTTCTGTCTTATTGACTTCAGCCACTGTGATATCACATGAGATTTTTAAAATTTAATTTTGTTTTTAATAGCTCTTTAAAAACGCCTAAATAGTATAAAAATACAATAAATTTTGACCGTATTTGCCGGGGTATAAGACGCACTTTTTTTCTTTGAAAATAGGTCTGAAAAACGGGGTACGTTTTATACGTCGATATTCAGTTTTTCATTACATTCATTTCTGGAAATATCCCTATTCGGAGTTATGCGACTTTTTTTTTTTTTTTTTTTTTTTTTTTTGCTTTTGTTTTCTTGCGGAGTGTGGGCTGTCGTCGACAATCACAGCCGGGTTCGTTTAAACTTTCCAATATTTGTGAACGACTTTTAAGTGTGTGAAATTTCTACTGTTCAATTTTCTTAAATTTGTTGGCAAGTTATGACTCAAAAACAACGTCGGCGTTGCTATAATACAACATACAAGCTACGTGTGATTGCGTATGATAAAGAACATGGAAAGAGGATTGCTAAAAGGCATTTCGGGCCACTCCCAACTGAGAAAATGATAAGAAATTATTAAGCGGAATTATAAATCAGTAATAAAGTTTTATCCTTCAAAAAATGTGCATAAAAAAGGGGTGGGTCTTAGACGCCGGCAAGTATGGTAATTGATAGTTAATGAAAAATTATTAATAGAAATTTGAACAAAAGCAATAATTAACATAAATTACATTGTTTGGCACTTGATTATTCACAAAACATTGAAATTAAAACCAAATTAAAGAAACTGGAAAATGATAAAAGTTAAATCACGTTCTGTGGAAAATTTTTTCTTTAATATTGCGTATGGCCAAAGTGTATAAGGCATTTCTCCCGCCTTCTTAGCATGCCTTCGTAGTGTAGTGGTTTGAATAGAACATGTGGCAACGATTAGATAATTCTTCAGATGACATACGGAACACCAGCGGCCGAGTGGTAAAGACGCTGAAGACTGGCAGTTCGGCCCGAGGTTCGAATCCCGCGAACGGGCTGGCTGCATGGGCGTTTTCGTGGTTTTCCTCATGTGTAAACGTGTATACGAGCCAGTTTCCCTTAGTTCTTCACGAAGGCATCCCTGCCTTTAGGCAGATGGCCCTGGTGTGCTTTGCCATAATAAAATAATCCAATCCAATCAAATCAGATGATATAAATTTTGTGCATTCTGAGTTATGAGATTTTTAAAAGATGCCCTGAGGGGAAGAAGATATATAATTTAAAAATCCTACGACGACTAAATGTTCTTATTACTGGCTATAAAGCAAAGAATGAACCCGAGCAGTGCCACAAGTGCCAACTCACGGGAGTTATGCCACTAATAAACCGCGTTGCATGAGTGCGGTCAGTTTCACGAAACTTATACTTGTAAACAGAAGAAATGAGACCGTTTACCGGCTATGTGTGCCCTTCGCGGCGATTTGCATGTTTCTTCTTACAAAGGTTGTAAGAAGCACCCTGATAACATAAAGAAAGCTATTGAAGCTGCTAAGAAGTGGGAAAATCATAAAAATACTCCCAGCAACAACTTCAAGCTAAATCAAGAAGAATTCCCGGTATTAAGCACCGACGAAATCGAAGCAAAAGCCCCAAACTGGACTAAGAAAAAGAGTAACAATCCCTCATTTTTTGAATGGATGAAAACACATACGAAAAAAGCAAAAGAATTTCTCCTAAGTTTCAAGAAATTGAAAACGATGATGGAGAAACTAGAAATAGGCATAGCCGCCCTTGAATACTTCTCAAATATCGAATTTGAATTTTAAACAAGTGCAGAGTGCACAGCAAGCAAAACATTAAGGGTTGTAAATAGTCACGAACTTAGGATGCGTTCTGTAAATAGTATTTAATCAAGATTTTCTTCTATGTGTTTCGTATGAACTTTAATACTCTGTGTCACATGAACAGCTTCACATCCCCACATTGGCGCGGGATCAACCACGCTCCAACTTTTATTATCTTTTACTAATTTCTCACTCTATTTAATCGGAATTTTGCATTTTTGCACGATTTTAGAGACTTATTTAGTGGAAAATACTTTTATTTAAGAAGTATTATTTTTCACACATTTAGAAGCTTCTTCATCGTTACTTTAGCTGACTTGAGTGCCACCACCAATCAGTATTGTGCTCTTCGTCACGTACCTACCGCAAGCTCTGCCTCCACGATTTGCCTTGACTTCTCAAGACTTATTCACTAATTTCATGCCTCTGCATTATTTTTTCTCGCCTCTGTGAGTGATACACTGGTTTTGTGTATCTGATTCTTCAAACCAAGCAATTGCTCATAGTTCAGAAGTCAAACAACAAAAATCAGCGTTATATTTTCAAATTTTCACAGGACTAGTTTTGGTGGTTTTACCGAACCACCATCCTCAGCTGCAAAAGCGCAAATGAACAAGATAGGATATAATGATTAGATAAGATAAGAAAGCCTGGACAGAAAATAAGCTAGTGGCGCCATCTGCTGATGAAACCAGAACTAAAACATAATTTCTTTAAAGGCCGAAGGCAAAGATGGATTAGAATTAGGATCGTTAACTAGAATAGAAAGATTTTTTCGAATGTGAAATGCCTCTAGAAAATCCAGTTCTCCACTAAGGAAAGCCTTAAAATTTCGCGTCAAGGAACATGAGGCATATGTTAGAAAAAAGGTTTCCTTTTTTCTAACATATGCCTTCTGTGTTCTGGAAACACAGAAGGCATTTCACATTCCAAAAAATCTTTCTGTTCTTGTTAACGATCCTAATTCCAATCCATCTCTGCTTGGCCTTTAAAGAAATTATTTTTAATTCTGGTTTCCAAACAGATGGCCCATGTTATTGTCAAGGTTTTTATCTACTATATTATTCTATCTTTTCATTTGCGGTTTGTGAGGGTGGTGGTTCGGTAAAAATCGACTATCTGAAAATACCTGATTTTGTTGTGCTTCTGAATTTGAAATTGACTTATTTGTAAAGCTTATTTATTAAACAAAAGGTAAAGAGCAAAAAAAGATGCTATATGTTTGATATTATTAAAAAAATTAGCGATTTTTTCTCC